CTCGCATAACTTTCCCGACTATTCGGAATAATTCCAAGTTCGACAACCGCATTAGTACAAGAGTCACTCACATAACATTACCTCAACTACTGATAATAATCCCAATTCCGACAGCCGATTTTGTTCACAATTCACTCGAATAAAGTTTCTTCGTATAGGCAGAATGAATCCAAGTCCGTCAGTCGCTTTGGTTCGAGAAGCGGTTGTATAACTATCCCTCGACTATTCGAAACATTTCCAGGTACAATCGTGGCAATATTTCTAAAATCACTCGCATAACTTTCCCTCGATTAGTAGTAATATTACCCAGTCCCGCTGCAGCATTATTTCGAGAATCACTCTCATAACTTTCCCTCGACTAGACGCTATATTTCCAAGCCCGACAGTCGCTTTGTTTCTAAATGAACTCGCATAAATTTCCCTCGACTAGTCGAAATATTTCCGAGCCCGACGGTCGCATTGATTCAAAAGGCACTCGCATAACTCTCTCTAGTCTAATCGGGATATTTCCAAGTCAAAAAGTTGCCTTGGTTCGAGATTAAATCTCATAATTTTACCTCGACTAGTCGGATTATTTCCAAGTCAGGAAGCAGCATTGTTTCGAGGGGCACTCGCATGATTTCCCTCGTCTTGTTGGAATATTTCCACATCGGACATCCGCATTGGTTATGGAGGTACTCGCATAACATTCCGTCGACTACTCGGAATAGTCCCAATTCCGACAGTCAATTTGGTTCAGAAGTAACTCTCATAGCTTTTCCTCGACAAGTTGGAATATTTCCAAGTCCGACAGCCGCATTGGTTCCAGAGGAAATCGCATAACTTTCCCCTGAATATTCGGGTTATTTCCAAGCCCGACAGTCACAATTGGTCGGGAGTCACTCGCATATTTTTCACTCGACTAGTCAGAGAATTTCCAAGTCCGTCAGCTCCATTGATTCGAGAGCCTCTCGCAAAACGTTCCGTCGTCTTTTCGAAATATTTCCAAGTCTGACAGCCACATTGTTTCGAGAGGCACTCTCATATCTTTCTCTCGACTAAATGGAATATTTCCAACTCTGACAGTCGCTTTGGTACGAGTGTACCTCGTATAAATTTCCCTTGAATAGTCGGAATATTTCCTAGTTTGACAGTCTTAACGTGTCGAAAGGCACTCTCATAACTTTCTTTCATCAAGTCAGAGTATTTCCAATTCCGGCAGTCACTCTGATTCAGAAGTGGCCCGCATAACTTCCTTCTATAAGTTGGAAATGTTACATGTCTAACTGGTGCATTGGTACAAGAGAATATTTCCAAGCCCGACAGTCGCATTGGATCACAAGACATTCGTATTACTTTCCCTCCACTAATCTGGATATTTTTATGTCCGACCGTCGCATTGGATCTAGAGTCACTTGCAAAATTTTCTCTCGATTACTCAAAATATTTCCTAGAGCGTACAGCCGCATTTGTTCGAGAGGCATTGGCATAACTTTGACCGACTTGAGTAAATATTTGCAAGACTGACGGTCGCATTGGTTGTAGAATAACTCGCATAACTTTCACTCGACTAGTCGGAATATTTCAAAGTCCGATACCTGCATTGGTTCAAGAATCACTCGCATAACTTCCTTTCGAATAATGGGAATACTTCTAAATCCGACTGTCGCATTAGTTTTAAAATCACTCGCATAAGTTTCTCCCGATTAATCAGAATATGTCAAAGTTCAGCAGCCTCATTGGTTCACAAAATATTCGCATTACTTTCCCTCGACTAGATGGGATACTTCCATTTCCGACTCTCGCATTTGTCCTAGAGTCACTCGCATAATTTTCCCTCAGAATGATTCCATACACGACATCCGCATAGGTTCGAAAGGCACTCGCATATCTTTCACAGACTTGATGGAACACTTTCAAGACTGATCGTCGCATTTGTTCCAGAATAAATCGCATAAATTTCCCTTCACTGGTCGTTATATTCCACCGCCCGTTATTCGTATTGTCTCACAAGTCAGTCGCATAACATTCTTTCGACTAGGCGGAATAGAACGTAGACCGAAAGACGTTTTGTTCCGTGAGGCACTCGCTAAACTCTCCTTCGACTAATCGGAAAGTTTCTAAGTCTGTCAGCCGCATTGGTTCAAGGAACACTCGCATAACTTTCCGTCTTCTAGTCGAAATACTTCAAAGTCCGACAGCCGCATTTTTTAAAGAGACACTCGCATATCTTTCCCTCGACTAGGCGGAATATTCCCAAGTTCGACAGCCGATTTGGTTCGATAAACACTCGCATAACTTTCTCTAGACAAGTTGGAATATTTCCATGTCCGATAGTCGCATTGGTTAGAAAACCACTCGCATAACGTTCTCTCGACTTGCCGGAATGTTTCAAAGTCCGTCAGTCGTATTTGTTAGAGAGGCTCTCGCATAATTTTCCCTCTACTAGTATGAATATTTCCAAGCCCAACGTCCGCAATGGTTGGTGAGGCACACGTATATCATACACTCCACCAATGGGAATATTCCCAATATCTACAGTCGCTTTAGTTCGCAATTCACTCGAATAAGGTTTGGTTGTCAAGTCGGAATGATTTCATGTTTGACATACACTATTTGTCGACTTGCACTCGCACAAAGTTGCGTCGATTAGTCGAAATATTCCCTAGTCTGACATCCGCTTTGGTTCGAGTGGCACTTGCCTAACATTTCCTCGGCTAGTCGGAATATTTCCAAGTCCGATAGCTGCATTGGTTCGAGAGGCACTCGCATTACCGCCCCCGACTAGTCGGAATATTTCCAACTTAGACGGTCCTATTAGTTCTAGAATCACTCGAATAAATATCCCTCGACTGGTCAAATGTCTTCATACCCGACAGTCGCATTGATTCACAAGAAACTCACATAACGCTCCCTCGATTTTCGGGATATTTCAAAGTCAGACAGACGAATTGGTTTACAAGAAACTCGGATAACGCTCCCTCGATTAGTCGGGATATTTCAAAGTCAGACAGACGAATTGGTTCACAAGTTTCTCGCAGAAAATTCCTTCGACTAGTTGGACTATATCTAAGTCCGACATTTGTATGGTTTTAAAGACACTTTCATAACTTTCCCAGACTAGTCGGAATACTTCCATGTTTTGCAGCCGAATTGGTCCGAGAGGCACTCGTATAACTTTCCAACGATTATTCGGAATATTTCCAAGTCCATCAGCCGCATTTGTTCGAGGGGCACTCGCATAACTCTTCCTCGATTAGTAGAGTTATTTCAAAGTCAGACGGTCGCATTGGTTCACAAATCACTCGCACAACTTTCTCTCGAATAGTCGGGTTATTTTCTAATCCGATAGCCGCATTTATTCGAAAGGCACTCGCATAACTTTCTTCGTCTAGTCGGAATACTTCTAAGCCCAACAGTCGCATTGGTTCAGAAGACTCTCGCATAACATTCCCTTTCCTAGACAGAATGGTTCCATGTCCGGCAGTCGTTTTGGTTCGAGTAGCATTCGCATATCTATCGCCGAATAATGGGAATATTTTTATGCCCGACAGTCGTACTGGTTTACTAGTCACTCGCATAATTTTCCCTCGACTAGCCGGAACATATCCAAGACCGACAGCCGTTTTGTTCGCGTGGCACTCGCATAACTTTCCCTGAAAAGTCGGATTATTTCCAAATCCGACAGACGCATTGGTTCGAGAATCACTCGCATAAATTTCCGTCGTCTACTCGGGATATTTACAATAACGAAAGTCGCATTGTTTCTAGAGTCACTCGCATAATTTTGCGTATCCCCTCCCCATGGCGGAATATTTCCACTTCCTACAGTCGCTTTGGTTTACAAGACACTCTAATAACTTTCGCTCAACTTGCTGGAATATTTCCATGCACGACAGACGGATTGGTTTAAAAGACGCATAACTTTCCCTCGACTAGTTTTAATATTTCCAAGTACTAAAAATGCATTGATTAGAGTGGCGCTCGCATAACTTTTCTTCGGCTAGTAGGAATATTCTCAAATCCGTCAGCCTCATTGTTTCGAGAGTCACTCGGATTTTTTTCCAGAAACTAATCGCTATATTTCCAAGTCCGACCGAAGCATTGGTTCCAAAGTAACTCGCATAACTTACCCCAACTCGTCGGAATAGATCCAAGCCCGACAGCCGTATTTGTTCGAGAGGCACGCGCATGATTTTCCCTCTAATAGTTGGAATTTTTCCATGTCTAACAGCCGCATTTGTTCAAGAGGCACTCGAATAATTTTCGCCGACTAGTCGGAATATTTCCATTCTTGGCACACAGATGGGTTTAATAGTCACTTGCATAACTTTACCCGACTAGTCGAAATATTTCCAAGTCTAACAGGCGAACTGGTTCGAGAGCCACTCGCATAACTTTCACCGATTAGTCGGCATATTTTCAACTCCAACAGCCGAATTATTTCGAGAGGCACCCGCATAACTTTCCCTCGACAAGTCAGAATACCTCCAAACCCGACAGTCGCATTAGTTTATAAAGCACTCGCATAACATTCCCTCGACTAGTCGGGATATTTCCAAGTACGACCGTCGCATTGGTTCTAGAGTCACTTGCATAATTTTACCTCGACCCTTCGTAATATTTCCAAGTCTGACAGCCGCATTAATTCACAAGACATTTACATAACACTCCCTCGTATAGTCGGAATATTTTAAAGTCAGGCAGACGCAATGGTTCTCAAAATAGTCGCATAACTTTCCCCAACTTGTCGAAATATTTCCAAGCCCAACAGCAAAATTGGTTAGAGAGGAACCAGCATTACTTTACCTCGAGTAGCAGAGATATTTTAACCGTTTGAGTCCCAGACACTATCGAAGAATCCCAAGCAGCGCGATAGCGCCTGTTTAATTTTATGTTGAGAAATACCAAGCAGGGCGATAGCGCTTGTTTAATTTTATGTTATTAAGTTGGTGCGAATGAAATGTCGGATTCTCAAGTGAATATATTAAACTGCATATCTTTTTCTAATAGCTGTTTATTTAATCAAAATATGCTCCATTTACTTCAATACACTTTTTCCAACGAGATTTTAATGCATAGGTGGCTATCTTGAAGAAATTCTGATCCATAGAATTAATGAACTCTGATATGGCATTTATCAGACTGTCTTCATTTTCGTACTGTTTAGCCCGTAAAAACAGTTCTAAATGTTTAAATAAATGAAAGTCGGTTAGCGAATGATCTGGTGAATAAGGTGGGTACTGCAAAATTTCATGTTTTTATTCATTTAATTCCGCAATTGTTTGTACGATGTATGCGGCCGAGCGTTGTCGTGGAGAAGTATTGGGCCATGCCGATTAACAAGTGATGGGAGTATAATTTTCAATTTTTCATGCATTTCTTCAATGTACTGGTAATACTTTTCGGCTGTAATTGTCATTCCAGTTCGAAGGAATGAGTAGTCCATTACTCCAGTCACATTCCACCAAACTGTGATTAAAATTTTCCATGGAAGAAGTGATGGTCGTGGAGTATGAGCAAAAGTCTCATCCCTATCAAGCCACCGAGCACACCTTTTCCTATTGTCATAAAGAACCCATTTTTCATCACAAGTAATGATCCGATTGAAAAATGGATCTCGATTAAATCGGGTTAGCAATGATGAGCATACGTTCAAGCGATCCAGCTTATTTCGCTCGGTTAGTTCGTGCGGCATCCACTTATCCATTTTTTTCACCTTGCCAATTTCAGAAAGATGTCGCAATATTGTTGTATGGTCAACTTCCATTCTGGCAGCAAGTTCCCTTGAAGAAACAGTTGGATTCGTTTCCACCAATGCTTTCAGAGCATCATTTTTCACAGACATTTCGGGTCTTCCACGCGGTTCATTTTACAAGAAGAAATCACCAGACCGAAATTTTTCAAACCAACGCTGCACTTTTCGATCGTTCACAGTATTCTCCCCAACGCCTGGTTTATATTGCGTGCAGCTTTTGCAGCATTATTACCAAGTTTATACTCATATAAGAAAATTACACGAATATCGGTTGAATTCATATCGGTGCAAAATTCAAGGCAAATAACAAAAGGGAATACTTTTGAGAAAATCTTCTTTGCTAAAATGTGACTCTGGCAATGGACAGTACGACTATAAACCAGGTTATGTCAGAAACAAAAGCATAACAAAGACAGGGAGACAAACGTTCACATTTAAAGGAAATCCGACATTTCATACGCATCATCCTAATAATTTAACGTGATTCTCGTATATTTTTCATCGCTCCGTCACATTTATTGCTGTTTGCAAAGTGATCGAACGTATTCTTCAGTTAATAATTCTTTTCATTATTGTGAAAAATTGATCTAGATTTACTGTTTAACTTTTCTAAATTTTGTTCATCCTCAAAAAGGTACAATGAATCAAAAAAGAAAATCTTTAAGCATAAACACAAATCCATGTGGTCATATTATCGTCGATGATGACGACTGCATTGTTCCGGTAAAGCGCAAAAAACAACTCATTTTGAGCACTTCGGAGGATAGCGATTCTGATTTATCGAATCAATGTTTATTCAACAATCTACCATTTACTAAAGATGTTTCGAATCAACGTGATTCTCAAGAGCCTAGCGAAAAATTTGATTCGCTATCTAACTTCCCTAGTCAGAGTAAACTGATTGAATTTTTTGAACTATTCTTTGATTCGACACTATGGGAACTAATAGTTGATGAAACGAATAAATACGCGGAGTATTCAAGGTTTTCACCTAGAGAATTAAAATCCTTTGAAAGAGAGATTTGGACACCTGTTACTGTTTTAGAAATGAAGGCATTTATAGCAGTGCTGTTGGAAATGGGAATTACGAGAAAACCTAATATACGTTCATACTGATCTGAAAATTCCCGTTATATACCGTGGTTTCGAAGAATGTTTTCTCGAAGTAGATTTCAACAGATTTTAAAATATTTTCATTTAGTAGATAATTCTTTATGTTTTTCACCTGGTCACGCGAAATACGTCCCCTGTGCAAAATTTAAGCCACTGGTTGAACATGCTAACAAGGTGTTCAAATCACATTATACACCACACAAAGAATTATCAATTGATGAGTCGCTAGTTGGGACGCTGTGTCATTCTAGCATATCGCAATATTTACCAAATAAAAAGCATCATCGTTCGGGAATAAAATTCTGGATGCTGTGTGACTACGTTTCGAAATATTGTTTAGCGTTCTCTTGCTATAAGGGTGCAAAAGAAACAATTTCTAGTGATAGAAGAAAGTTTGGACTTGGGTACGATGTCGTGGTGAATTTACTAAAAGATAGTAATTGTTTGAATAAGGAGCATCACATTTTTGTCGACAACTTTTTTACTAGCGTAGAATTAGCTCGCTATTTATATTCTATGGACACCTTTTTAAATGGAACAATTAGAAGGAATAAGAAATGTATTCCCGATAAGTTGATACAAACTAACGTAAACGAGATAAAATATTTTCGAAACAATGAAGTATTGTTCTGTGCATATCGCGAAAAGAAGAGTGTAAAAAATCCTGTATTACTTATTTCGACGAAAGCAGAAGAGCAAGATGTGACTATAATGAAAAATCGACATGGCAGAGAAATACGTTCCACAAAACCCGCTATTATTCAATTTTATATTGCCTTCATGGGTGGTGTCGATGAATCCGATAAAATGCTGTATACCTATCTCGATGAACGAAGATCAGTTAAATATTGGAAAAAGGTAGCCTTTCACATAATTAACCGCATGGTTTTAAATGCATATATAATCTACAAGGAAATAGTTAAGAGTAAAGCAATATCTCGGTTAGATTTTATGTCAAATATTATTTTTGAAATTGAGTGTCAGTGGATGAGCGAAAAGCAATCACATAGTCATGTAAAAGAAAAAACAGTTGCCACACCGTAACTTGCGACAATACGTAGTCTGCAGCACCAAAAATGCAATAAAAAGATCACATTTAATTTGCGTACTATGCAGAAAAGGAAATCATCCAGCATGTTTTGATAAACACCAATGTTACAAATTATAAGTGTTGCTCTCTATTTAACTTGTTTGTTTATAAATATTTCAAGTTTGTTCAATAAAAATTATTGAGAAGATAACAAAATAAAAATTTTTATTTTATAATGTATTATTACATTATTATAGTACTATTCTACCTATTGTAAAAAGTACTATTTACGTTAAAAAGAGCTTTGTGGTGTACTTGCGTTAGTAAATCTGAGCGGTCAACTTTGACAATCCGTCGCGCACCGTCAATTGTCCACAATGCTCGAAATACGCTGGGTTCTCTCGACATAAAATCTGAACAGCGCGATCGTGCTGCTTGGGACTCAAACGATTAATGTCCGAATGCCGCATTGGATCTAGAGTCACTCGCATAATTTTCCCTCGACCACTCGGAATATTTCCTAGTCATATTGCCGCTTTTGTTCGGGAGGCACTGGTATAATTTTCATGGACTTGAGGGAATATTTGCTCAACCGACTGTCCCATTGGTTCCAGAATAGCTCGCATATCTTTTACTTGACTACTTGGAATATTTAAACGGCTAACAGCCCAACTGGTTCGAGAGACATCCGTCGAACTTTTCTTCGACACGTCGGAACATTTCCAAACTTGGTTCACATGACACCCGGATACTTTACCTCGGATAGTCGGGATATTTTAATGTCCAACAGTCACATTGTTTCTAGAGTCGCTCGCTCAATTTTCCCGCGACTAGTCGGAATATTTCCGAGTCCGACGGTCATTTTGGTTTACATGACACGCGCATAAATTTCCCAAGATTTTTCGTAATATTTGCAAGTCCGACAGTGGCATTGGTTAGAGATCCACTCGCATTCCTTTCCCACGATTAGTCGGAATACCTCGAAGTCCGACAATCGCATTGGTTCACATGTCATCCACATAACTTTCCTCGTCTAGTCAGAATATTTCTAGATCCAACAATAGGAATGTTCCGAGAGTCATTCTCATAAATTTCCCACGACTAGACAGAATATTTCTAGGTTCAACTTTTGAATTGGTTCGAGAGGCACCAGCAGCACACTCCCTCGCTTAGTCTCAACATCTCCTAGTCCGACAGTCGCGTTACTTCATAAGTCAGTCTCATATCGTTGTCTCGAGTAGTCGGAGTGTTTCTAAGTCCGACAGTGGCATTGGTTAGAAAGGTACACGCATAACTTTCCCTCCAATAGTCGGAATGTTTCTATGTTCGACAGTCGCATTGGTTCGATTGACATCCATACAAATTTTTCTCTTTTATTTAGAATATTTCCAAAACCAATAGTCGAATTGGGTCTCTTGTCACTCGCATAACTTTCTCTCGGCTAAATGGAATATTTCTAGGTTCGACCATCGAAATGTTTCTAGAGGCACTCCAATAACTTTACTCTTCCAGTCGGAATATTTCTAGGTCCATCAGTAGCATTGTTTCGGGAGGAACTCTCATAACTTTCCCTCGACTAGACGATTATATTTAGGTCCAACGTTTGTATTGGTTCGAGAGGCACTAGCAGAAAATTCCCGCGCTTAGTTTCGATTTTTCCTACTCCGATAGTCGCATTGGCCAGAGTGGCAGCCGTACAAAATTTTTCTTGTCTATTACCAATATTTCCAAGGTTAATAATCGCATTGGTTTACACGAAATTCGCATAATTTTCCCTCAACATGTCAGAATATTTCCAAGTCCGACAGTCGCATTGTTTCACAAGTCACTCGAATAACTTTCCCACGACTAGTCGGAATATTTCCAAGTCCCAAAGTTGCATTGGTTCAAAAGTCAGTCGCATAAATTTCCCTCGACTATCTGGTATATTTCCAAGTCCCAAAGTTGCATTGATTCAAAAATCAGCCGCATAAATTTCCCTCGACTAGCCGGTATATTTCCAAGTCCCAAAGTCGCATTGTTTCGGGTGGCATTTTCACAAGTTTTTCTCGCCTATTTGGAATATTTACAAAACCAATAGTCGTATTGGTTCACTATTCTTTCTAATAACTTTCCCACGACTAGTCGGAATATATCCTAGTCCGTCAATTGCATTGGTCCACTAGTTACTTGCATATCTTTCCCTGGTCATGTTGGAAAATTTCCAAGACCTGCAGCTGCATTGATCACAAATCACTCGAATATCTATCTTTTGAATAGTCGAAATATTCCTAGTCCCGACAGTACCATTGGTTCGAGGAGAACTCTCTTAACATTTCCTCACCTTGTCGGTTTATTTCTAGTACCGACAGTCGCATTGAGAGACACTTGCGTAACTTTCCCTCGTCTAGTCAGAATACTTCTAGGTTTGACATTCGCATAGATTCGAGAGGCATTTATACAACTTTCTCTTGACAAGTCGGAATACTTCCATGTCCAACTGTCGCATTGGTTCAGGTAGCACTCGAATCATTTTTCCTTGTTTAGTCGGAATATTTTCAAGTGCGGTGGTCTCATTAGTTCGAGAAGCATGCGCGTACTTTCCCTCGCCCAGTCCTAATATTACCACTTTGAATAGTCTCATGGGTCACAATTCAGTCGCATAACTTTTCTTCGACTAGCCGGAATAATTCTAGGTACGTTTGTCTGTTTGGTTTGAGAGGCTTTCCCATAACTTTCACTCGACTAATCGCAATATTTCTAAGTCCGACAGTAGAATTGGATCGAGAGGCACTTGCACAACATTCCGTCGACTAGTCGGAACATTTCTAGTTCCGACAGTCGCATTGGTCCTAGAGGAACTCGCTTATTTTTCTCTCGAATTGGAGGGATATTTCCAAGTTCGGCACTCGCAGTGGTTCTAGGGACACTCGCATAACATTCCCTCGACTAGTAGGAATATTTCTAAGGTCGACAGCCGAATTGGTCGATAGGCACTCGCATAACTTTTTCTCGGCTAGTTGGTATATTACCAAGCCCGACATGGTTCACAAGTCACTCATATAACTCTCACTCATCTAGTCGGAATAAATCCAAGTCCGACAGTCGCTTTGACTCGAATTGCACTCGCTTAAGTTACCTTGGAATAGTCGGAATATGTTCTATTCCGGCGGCCGTATGGTTTCGTTAGGAACTTACATAACTTTCTCCCTACTTGTTAGAATATTACCAAATCCGACATTCGCACTGGTTCCTGAGGAAATCGAATAACTTACCCTCGATTAAGCGGGATACTTTCAAGGCCAGCATTCGCATTGGTTCGTGTGTATCTCTCATAATTTTCCCTCGACTCGTCAAAAGACTTCGAAGTCCGGCACCCGAATTGGATCGATAGGCACACGCATAACTTCTACTCGTCAGTTGGAATAGTACCAAGTTCGACAGTGGCTTTGTTTCGAGGTGCATTCGCATAAATTCCTTAGACTAGTCGGATTACTTCCAATTCCGACAGTCGTATTGGCCCTAGAGACTCTCGAATAACTTACCCTGGAATAGTCGGAATATGTTCCAGTCCGACAGACATATTGGTTCGAGAGGACCTTGCATAACATTCCCACGACTAGTCGAAATATTTCCAAATCAGGTAATTGCATTGTTCGAGTGTCACTTGCATAACATTAACGCAAGAATAGTGAATATTTTCAAGACTGACAGCTGCATAGTATCGAGAGGCACTCGCATAACTTTTCCTTGAATGGTTAGAGAATTTCCAAGTCCGACAGTCACATTGGTTCACAAGTCACTCACATAACCTTTCGTCGACTAAACGGAATATTGGTAAGTCCGACAATCAGATTTGTTCGTGGTGCACTATCATATCTTTTCCACGACCAGACGGAATATATCTTAGTCCAACAATCGTATTGTTTCGAGCGGTACTATCATTCCCACGAATGTTCGGAATATTTCTAGGTCCGACAGTCGCATTAGATCA